TTGAACCCAGGACCTTGTGCATACTAGGCATGCACTCTACCACTGAGCTGTACCCTCCCTCTAGTCTATTTGTTTATTGTCTCTCTCCAACTAGAATGTCAGCTCTAGGAGGTTAGTAACTATTTTGTCCATTGCTATATCCTCAGTGTTGAGAATACTGCTTGATACATAGTAGACAGTCAACATTTTGTATTTGCAGCCACATGGATGGACCTGGAGAATGTCATTCTAAGTGAAGTAAGCCAGAAAGAGAAATAAAAATACCATATGATATCACTTATATGTGGAATTAAAAAAAAAGACAAACGAATTTATTTACAAAACAGAAACAGACTCACAGACATAGAAAATAAACCTACAGTTATCGGGAGGGGAAGGGGTTGGGAAGGGATAAATTAGGAGTTTGAGATTTGCAGATACTAATTAATATATAAAAAATAGATAAACAACAAGTTTAAATTGAATAGCACAGGGAACTATATTCAATATCTTATAGTAACTTATGGTGAAGGAGATTATGAAAATGAATATATGTGTGTTCCTATATGACTGAAGTTATTGTGTTGTATACCAGAAATTGACATAATATTGTAAGCTGACTATACTTCAATAAAAATACATATTAAAAAAATGTTGTGACTGAAACTTTGTATCCATCTGCCCCCTACCCTGCAGGGAATCTAAATGAGAGAAGCAGGGATGTGGATGGGAATGCAGCTATTGCCTAGAACATAATAAATGCTCTGTAAATGTTTTGCTGGATGAACAGAAGTATTTGATTGATGTATTAATTTAATACTTAATTTGTACAAGGTATTGAGGAAAGATGCAAAGAAATGAGAAGGAAACATCTGAGCATCCTGGCTATGCCTCTGGGTAACACTGAGCAAGTCATTCAACCTCTGGGTTTCACTTTCCTCATCCGTAAGATGGAGGTAATAACATTACCTACATCACAGGATTGTCATAAATATCTTCATGCATGGAAAGTGCTTGGCATGTGCCTGGTACATGGTAATAAGCACCAGAGATGTGTTATTATTGCCGCAGTTGCTGTTACATGGTAGACTCTTCAAGGTGTTTTTTTAAATCAGCTTTGTCGAGATAAAATTCACATGCCAGAAAATTCTCCCTTTTAAAATGTACAATTCAGTGGTTTTTAATTAACAGGCTTGTGCAACCATCACCACCATCTAATTTTAGAAAAATTTCATTCTCCCTCCCCCCAAATTCCATAGCAGTCACTCCTCTTTCCCCGACCAACCCATGCCCTCGCCCCGACAACCACTACTCTACTTGGTGTCTCTATGGATTTGCCTATTCTGAAATTTTATATAAATGGAATCATGCAATATGTGGACTTTGTGTCTCTTTTAGCATAATTTAGCATAATGTTTCCAAGGTTCATCCATGTTTTAGCATGTATCAGTATTTCATTCCTTCTTTTAATTGAGGTATAGTTGGTTTACAATCTTACATAAGTTTCAGGTGTACAACATAGTGATTCACAATTTTAAAGGTTATACTTCATTTAGAGTTATTATAAAAATTGGCTATATTTCCCTGTGCTGTACAATATGTCCTTGTAGCTTATTTATTTTATACATAGTAGTCTGTACCTCTCAATCCCCTACAGATATCTTGCCCCTCCCCCTTCCATCTCCCCACTAGTAACCACTAGTTTGTTCTCAATATCTGTGAGTCCATTTCTTTGTTGTTATATTCACTATTTTACTTTTTAGAATCCATATATAAGTTATATCATACAGTATTTATCTTTCTCTGACTTATTTCACTAAGCATAATACCCTCAAAGTTCATCCATGTTGTTGCAAATGGTAAAATCCCATTCTTCTTTGTGGCTGCATATATGAATACCACATCTTCTTAATCCATTCATCTGTTGATGGACACTTAGGTTATTTCCATATCTTGGCTATCATAAACAATACTGCTAGGAACATTGGGGTGCATATATCTTTTCAAATGAATGTCTTCATTTTTTTCAGATTTATATTTAGGAGTGGAATTGCTGGATCATGTGGTAGTTCCATTTTTAGTTTTTTGAGGAAACTCCATACTGTTTTCCACAGTGTCTGCACCAATTTACATTTCCACCAACAGTGTACAAAGGTTCCCTTTTCTCTACAGCATTTGTTATTTGTAGAGTTTCTGATGATAGCCATTCTCACAGGTGTGAGGTGATATCTCATTGTGGTTTTGATTTGTATTTCCCTGATGATTAGCAATGTTGTGCATCTTTTCATGTGCCTGTTGCCCATCTGTATGTCTTACTTGGAAAAATGTCTATTCAGGTCTCTTCTGCCTATTTTTAAACCAGGTTGGTTTTTGTTTTTTTTTTTGATATTGAGTTGGATGAGCTATTTATATATTTTGGAACTTTATTCCTGTTTATAGCTGAATAATATTCCATTGTGTGGATATACCACATTTTGTTTACCCATTCATCCACAGATGAACCTTTGGCTTCCACTTTTTGGCTATTGGGAGTAATGCTGCTATGAGCATTCATGTAAAAGTTTTTGTGTGGACCTACATTTTCATTTCTCTTGGATGTATTTCTAGGAGTGGAATTCCTGGGTCACATGGTAACCCTATGTTTAACATTTTGAGAAACTTGCAAACTGTTTTCCAAAGCAACTGCACCATTTTACATTCCCGCCAGCAATGATTGAGGGTTCCAATTTCTCCACATGCTTGCCTTACTTCTCTTTGTCTATCCTTTTTATTTTAGCTGCCGTAGTGGGTATGACGTGGTATCTGTGTGTGTGTGTTTTAAGAAACTGATGTTTATTTTTCAACAACTTTATTCGCATTTTCTGTTTAAGAGCCTGTGGAAGAACAGCTTAAGACTACCCAGTGGTCATTCCTACGTGTTCAGTGGCCTGAGCAGTGACAGCAGTCTTCAGTGGTGGGCTGGGCACTCCATTCTTCAGGAGGAACTGCTGGATAGGCACAGAGGGCACCTACATGCTTTCAGACCAGCCTGCAATCTTGGGTTGAGTAGCAGTAAACTCAGGAGCTGGAGCAGTCCATTCACCCTAAAATTCCCCTTTGGTCACAGCCCTTCCAGCAGTGACCAGTTTATCTTTTTTGATCTCTTAAGGATCTCTGTAGAAGCACAGATCAGGCATGACCGCCCATGAGTGCTCATGAGAGATGCATGAGCAGAACTTCCTGGGCCAGCACCCACCACCTCAGACCCACTGAGTGGGCTCCCTTGTTGTTGAATGGGGTAGCAAGGTCCACATGACACAGAGGAGAAATCCGTGTTACACAGAGCAACGGAAGGCAGGTTAACATAAGATGCCTCTGTGAGAGGCTGCTGGTCATCTGTGGGATCAGCGACCACTGGAAGTTGTGGCTCTCTGAAGGCTGCCTGGATCTGGTAAACAAAGATTCCAGGAGTGAAGTGGCCAGCAAGAGGAGTGGCCCTGGTGGCAGCAGCAAACTTCTGCACAGCTTGATGGCCAGTATTCCTGGAGGATATGACACTGACATCAGCTGGGTTTTCAATGGCACCAGTCACCAGCAGAAGCTTCTCCCAAGTCCTCTTCAGATTTATGATGTAGATGCCCACTTTCCTTTCACAGACACACAGTTCCATTTGGAAGTCAAGGCTGGTGCCACCTAAGTGGGTTCCTGCTGCAAGGAATTTAAGGACATCTTCGTCCTTCATGTGCAGGACATCATGGGCTCTGGACATTGTGAAAGTTTCCCTTTAAGTTATGACAGAGAGCTCATTGTGGTTTTGATCTGCATTTCCCTGATGGATAGTGATGCTGAGCATCTTTTCATGTGCATACCGGTCATTTGTACATCTTTGTGGAAATATCCATTCAAATCCTTTGCCTATTAAAAAAATGAGTTATCTTTTTCTTGCAAAGTTGTAAGAGTTCTTTACATAGTCTGGATACAAAGCCCTTATCAGATGTATCATTTGCAAATATTTTCTTCAATTCTTTGGGTTGTCTTTCCTGTGCCAATGTTTTTGCATGCTTTCCCCCAAGACCACTCCTGTGAGGCAGATGTTATTGATAGGGAAATGAAAGTTCAGAGAGAAGAGAGAATTGAAATCCAGTTCTGTCTGACTGTTAACGTCATGCATTCTCCTCTACCCCAATTTGCTCACAAAGACGTGTTCCTGGCTTTAAGGAGCTTGGTCTGGCTGAGGACATGAAACAATAACAAAAACGAATATACTATAAAGGAGAGTTCCACTTGTCCCACAAGTGTCACAAGAGAAGTGTAGAGGAAGTGAGCACTTCTGGCTGGGGAAGTCAGGGCAGCTTCAGTAAGGTGGCATTTAAGTCTTGAAGAATGGGTACAGTCTCATTGGATGGAGGTGATGGAGTAAATGGAGGTGAGCATTTGCAAAGGAGAGTGGAAGATGAGGACTGAAAGAATGAAAGGAACTTTGATCCTAAGACTGGCTGCGATGGGGAGTCACAGGGCTTGTTAGGATGGGAGATCCTGGGACTGCCTTGGCTGGAGGACCCAAGGATCTGGCTAACCTGGAGGATCCTGGGGTTGGCTGGCATAGGGGCTATGGGACACAGGCTTGGATGGAGAGTTTGGGGGCCAGCTCGAGTAGGGGATGCCAGTAAATTTGGGGGGGAGGTTCCAGGGGCTGCCTGGGATGGGGGAGCTGCAGACTGGCTAGGCTGGAGGGACAGGGGGCTGGCTAGGATGAGAGATCCGGGGACTGCCTGTGATGTGGACTAGAGAGAGAGAGATCACCTGAGATAGGACGTCCAGGGGTTGAATGGGATGGGGAATCTGACACTTGGGATTGGCAGACTCAGGGGATGGGAAGTTCGTGGGATGACTGGACCTGGGGGGCTGCCTGGGATTGGGGGAGTGTTCCTGGGATGTCTTAGATGAGGATCTTGGGCCTGGTAGACCCAAGGGACATTGGAATGGACTGGGATGGAGGGCTTCATTAGGCTGCGTTAAGTGAGGACCCCGGTACCGGTGGCGCCGTGAGCGAGCGGGGACCGGGCTCTCTTGCCCCTTCCCCTGCCCCTGGGCCGCCAGGATGGAGGCGGGGTCGGGTCCCCCGGGCGGCCCGGGATCCGAGAGCCCCAACAGAGCGGTGGAGTACCTGCTGGAGCTGAACAACATCATCGAGAGCCAGCAGCAGCTGCTGGAGACCCAGCGGCGGCGCATCGAAGAGCTGGAGGGCCAGCTGGACCAGCTCACCCAGGAGAACCGCGACCTGAGGGAGGAGAGCCAGCTGCACCGCGGGGAGCTGCACCGGGACCCCCACGGCGCGCGGGATAGCCCGAGCCGCGAGAGCCAGTACCAGAACCTGCGCGAGACCCAGTTCCACCACCGTGAGCTGCGGGAGAGCCAGTTCCACCAGGCGGCCCGGGACGTGGGCTACGGGAACCGGGACGGCGCCTACCAGAACCGGGAGGCTGTGTATCGGGACAAGGAGCGGGACGCCTCCTACCCACTCCAGGACACTGCCGGTTACTCTGCCCGCGAGCGCGACGTGGCCCAGTGCCACCTGCACCACGAGAACCCGGCCCTGGGTC